CTCAGTAAAGACAGAGAAAATACATACCGAGTTTGCATAAATTCTTACTCATTGAATGACTGATTTAACATATACTTTAAAAGCTATGGGTATTTAATAACAGTTTGAAAGACTCTAATGTTTATTATTGTAAGATAGATTCTGCCAGGGACAGATTACCCATTAAGCAAGGTACGCGTGGGTTTACTTGTGCTTACTTACTAATCTGTAGTGCACAATTTCACCTGTTTTTTTTTTAACCATGTCAAAGATGTAGTAAAACCCATGTGAAACTGTGCACTACAGATTAGTAAGTAAGTACAATTAAGCCTGTGTGTACCTTGTTTACTGGTTAATCTGCCTCTGAATTCTGCTGACAGACATATTACTGCAATCTGTAGTCGAACTAGAAATCTCCTAGTCTTCAAACAACTGTTTTGATGCAAAATGTGATGGCTTCTGACTTCCTAAAGCTTTCCAACCAGCACAGGGAAATTACCCACATTTGTGGTGTTATCACAAAGCCTAACTAGCTTTACTTTGATATCGCATTGCTTAGTCTGCCTTAGCTTCTCTGCCAGATCATTTTTTTTTTTTTTTTTGCATAGTTTTTACTAATTAGAACAGCTATCCCAATGTCATAACTAGGGCAGTGAAACCTAATACAACTGGTTTGGGAAATGAGGATTTCCCACCTCTCTGATTCTCTTGGAAACTCCTTCCTAGCCCAGAATTAAGCCCACTGCCACACAGAGGGTACAAAAGTGGCTGTGGTTCCTAGAGATACTGTCCAGACCCCAAAATCTAGAGGTCAAAATGGAGTTAGTACAAAAGACTCCTACCACAGTAATACTTAGGAGGCTTGTTCCAAATAAGGATACCAAAACCAAACCAAACCCATTGCCATCAAGTCAACTACCTCCATAGGGTTTCCAAGGAGCACCTGATGGATTTGAACTGCTGACCTTTTGGTTAGCACCCTGAGCTCTTAACCACTGTGCCACCAACATAGATTTTGTAAGTAGTTCTTCACTGGTGGCTTTTCTCACGAATCTGCAGAACTTATGATCTCTTGACTGAGATTTTTCTGAATACAGTTCACGATAGTTCTAGTTCAGTGCTTTTCAAAGTGTGGTTCCAGATGGCAGCATCAGCTGGATCTGGGAATTTGTTAGGAATGCAAATTAGTGGGCTCCACCCCAGACCAACTTAATCAGAAGCTCTGGGGTAGGGCCCAGCAATATGTAGTTCAACAACCTCTACACGATTCTGATGCATGATAAATGTAAAAAAACACTCTTTTAAGTTCAGCAGATTTATTTTGTAGATGAGGAAATTAAGAGCCAGATATAAATGACTTGACCTAGGACATACAACTAGTAAGTGCTGTGAATGCAGTTATCAACCCAGTTTGATGGCAAACTACTGATATGTAAAATTAATCATCTGTTTAATTCATACTAGTTTATCATAATATGAAACCTGTTCTCAGTCAAGTTTTCCTTTATTATGTACCTTTGATAAGTTTTAGAGATAATCACTCTATTCTAAATCATCACCAAAGCCGTAAGTCTCACCTTAACAACATGCCTTGCTTCAATCATAAACGTATGGTGTGTGCTTCCATATAAAATCACATTTTCGAAAGCTGCTATGGATAAGAACTATACAATTTTGAACTTACAATTGAGTTTTTTATAGAATTTCTTGTGGGCTATTTTTTATTTTTCTGATTTTCAAAGTCATTCCTACAGTCAAGTGGGGGATTACTTTCTGGCAAAGAAATCCCTCAGATTAAAAATTTATGGACAATATTATACATTTTTATATTTATTTACTCATTTTTACCTTTTTTACTGAGCTATACTAACATACAAATTTATATACCTAAGTGTTCAGTTCAATGAACTTTGATAATTGTATACACCCATGTAACCATCACTCAAAAACAAGAAAATTCTTTTGTGCCCCTTTGCAATCAATTCTCACCCTACCACCCAGCCACAACAACTTTCTGATTTCTATCACTATAGATTAGTTTTTCCTGTTGTTAGACTTCAGATAAATGAAATCATACATGATGGACTCATTTGTATATGGCTTTTTTCACTTAACATGTTTTTGAGATTCATTCATATTGTGTGTATTACTAGTTCATTCTTTTTAATTGCTGGTTAGTATTGCATTATATGAATATATCACAAGTTGTTTGCCCTACCTTTTTCTTAGTAACAATAATTTTTTCTTATTACAAAAGCAATGCTTACAAACTGTAGAAAATTATAGAATACGAATGAGGAAAGAAGAAAATAAGTATCCATAATTCTACTCTCCAGACATAACCACTGCTTAGTACTTGGTTGTATATCCTCTTTAAATCTTTGTTTATATAAGTTGTCCACATATATATACAGTATATATGTTACATATAAATATATAACATATGTATTATAAAAATTCTCATTTTAGGCTCGAGTTTACCACATAGATTCTGATATTAGTGTGTTAAATTGTCACTATCCTTAGTTTTAACTATAGAATATTTTCTAAATTAAAAAAATTAAAATAAATATACATTCATTGCTAAAAATTCAAATAACATACAATATATAAATAAATAAATAAAAAGTAAATGTCTCCTGTTCAGCCCCCCATTTTGCTTGCCTTCACATAGGTAGCCAATGTTAATTAACTATAAAATCTTGACCAAAAATATATTGGTAAGGACCAGAGAATGCTGAATTTATCACATAATTTTTTTCTAAGTTTTGTTTTTATTTTTTATTGTTATCTATACACCACTGACATTTTAGTTGGTATGAAATTATTTTATAATATCAAGGGATCATGTTAAGAGTAGTTCTAGTACTATAGATTGATATATAGCTTGCTTTGAGATACAGTTTTAAAGTATTTTATCTAGGGTGAATAGAGTGCTATCTTCAAATTTTCTTTGATGTTAGCTGGTTTATTCCTATCTGCTGTCAGAAGCCTAGATATGCACAGGTCTCCGTTTCAGTATGTTGATCTTACTTCTAGCAAAGATATTCTTCAACAGTAAATTGCCTTTTCACTCTTCATATTGAGTTGCACTTCCTCTACACGGAGCCATCAACATATTGTTATTAAAGTTTGGAAACTATCAGCCAGATGCAAAATCCTATTGAGGAATACAGACTAATACAAAGTATCATTCAGAGTTTGCTCCTGAAAGGCACTTTGTTTCACTAATAACTTTGTTTCATTAGCATTTTCCCAGTAGAAAAATGTGGTTTGTAGCCATAATCAAAGAGGAAGCCTCCACCAATGTCTTAACTTGCACTTTTATGGGCCTTTGAGTTCTTGCTGCTCTTTAGGACAAAAATTTAAGACTGGGTACAGGGTAGCGTCCTGGCAGGCAGTCTGTCCAGAAACTCCTCGCATCTCTGTAGATCATTACAGATACCAAAGATTGTTTGATTTTTTTCTTAACTTTGAAGCTCATATACCTAGAGGCAGGCAAAAATGCAGTTGTGTTGCGTTCTTCTTGAAACTTTATTTTACATACTTGGTTTTAGGGACAGAATGTGCATATTTAGGTGAAACCATATATGCAAAGTTCTGTAGCCTACTAAGCCCAAAGCTCTAAGAACCATCCTCCCTCACAATGGAGGGATCTGAGAGTTTATTGAGTTCTCATTGAAGGCATTTGAATGCTTCCAGGCCTAGGAGTATGGGTTCTGTCCTGGGGGTGGGGTTCAGAAATACTTAAGACTTTTCCTGGCCTTATCTCACAAGGTCAGGCTAGCTAAATTTAGCATTATTACAACTGGGAGATGTCCTCCTCTGGGGGACTCCAGGTGATTGCTGAGGCTGTTGTTCCTCCTGTCTGGTGTTTGCATGCCTTCTCAAGCCAAGAAGAGAATTTCTTACTATAAATGGTCTCTGATATCTGCATTCCACCTAGTCAGAGCTCCAGCTCCCCTCCACTCTCTGTGTGCATTCCAAGTTCTATAGCCAAAGGTGGGAGGATTTACAGCTGTATAGTACTGAAGGACAGGGTACTGACTGAAGTCATTGAAATTCCTAAGAGCTCGGCTTGCGAATTCACCAGCCACTCCTTGGAAACCCTACGGGACAGTTCTACTCTGTCCTATAGGGTCGCTTGAGTGGGAATCCACGCGACCGCAACTTATTTTTTTTTTGGCAGGGGTAGGGGCTTATTACTGCAGAGAGCAGCACTCCCAGACACACTCTCCACTCTTACTCAAAGAAGCTTAGTGTTTTATTCTAGTGTTTGTCCACCCTCCCTGCCCCCAAAATAAGGACTAGCCTCCCTGAGCCTGAAGGAGAAGTCTGTAACGGTAATCTACTGTCAAGTGTCTATATTCTTGGAAAACGGCATTTTCTCTTCTATTATCAACATAATCTTGATTAACCAGCTGCATTCACGTGGCATTTGCTGGACTCTTTCTCAGGTGACTGCTTTGTGCTCTTTTCCTGATTTCGTTCGCCCAGGGGTGCTAAACCCAGCCCCCTCTCCCCCAACATCAGTGGGGGAAGCACCTGTCTTCTCTTTTCTGGATACTCCCAATAGTCCAGAGAAGAGCAAAACTAGTGGATGTCTCTTTTTAAAACCTGCCCTACTCGCCCCCTCTGGTTATCACCCCCGCTCCGCCCCCAGCAGCCCAGGGGCCTTTTAATGCGGGCAACCAAGGCGAGAGGCCGAGGAGGTGGAGCTGCAGGCGGGAAGGAGGCGGCGCGCAGCTGTACCTAGTGGCCCTGACGGGCTGCTCCATCCAGAGTACGTGGCACTCCTCGTGGGAGTGGGGGAGGGGATGCGGCTTTCTCCTCCCCACGAGAAGCCTGGCGGGGGGGGGACATCCTGAAGGGGCAGGAGGGCGTATCCTTGAGAAGATCGGTGCGTTCTTTTGGTGGATCTGAACAGATGAAAGTGGCCTGGCAGTGGTCAGCGTCAGACCTGCTCTTTACTCTGTATCCACTGTGAGCAACTGTGATCGTTCTAGCCCGAGAAGCAGTGTCCGGATTTGGGGCCAGAGCACGCACTCGCGACCCCGCATGCGCAGAGCTGGGAGCCAGCCTCCAGGACTACAGCCCCCAGCGGAGCCGCAAAGTGGCCGCAGGCGCGGAGCCGCTGACGCCATCTTGAAATCTGATCCTCAATCTCTGAGCCTTTGTGTCAGCAGCGAGTGGCCGCTACTGCACCGAAGACCCAGCCTGCTAAAAGGGGAGGACGTTGAGGACGCGGCGGCTGGAGGGAGAGACAGCTGTAGGAGACTTGGCAGGTTCCGCACGCGGCCTGCGCCGCTGTCACTCAGCATCCCCCTGAAGCATTTCTACGTCCGCTCCCGCCCTGAGGGGCGGGGCTGCCACTCTGGTACCCAGAGCCCGCGTGCGGGTGGCGGAGCTGCGCCTGCAGAGTGGAGACCCTCCGGACTGTGTCATGCCAGCTGGAGACCCCCGGGGCAGGAGACCGAGCGCAACCAAGAACGAGTGAGTGATCTCTGAGCAGCCGCCGCCTTGGGGGAAGCTCGGCGGCACCCTCTAGGAGGGAAGATGAAGGAGATTTGCAGAATCTGTGCCCGGGAGCTGTGTGGAAACCAGCGACGCTGGATCTTCCACACAGCGTCCAAGCTCAACCTGCAAGTTCTGCTTTCTCACGTCCTGGGCAAGGATGTCTCCCGCGATGGCAAAGCCGAGTTTGCTTGCAGCAAGTGTGCTTTCATGCTTGATCGGATCTATAGATTCGACACGGTTATAGCCCGGATCGAAGCCCTTTCTATTGAGCGCTTGCAAAAGCTTCTGCTGGAGAAGGATCGCCTCAAGTTCTGCATTGCCAGCATGTATCGGAAGAATAACGATGACTCTGGCGCCGACACCAAGGCGGGGAATGGAACGGTTGACATTTCCGGCTTACCGGATGTCAGATACTCTGCACTGCTCCAGGAAGACTTTGCCTATTCAGGGTTTGAGTGCTGGGTGGAAAATGAAGATCAGCTTCAGGAGCCACACAGCTGCCATACTTTTGAAGGCCCTGGAAACCGACCCAGGAGATGCCGTGGTTGTGCAGGTTTGCGGGTTGCTGATTCTGACTATGAAGCCATTTGTAAGGTGCCTCGAAAGGTGGCCAAAAGTATCTCCTGTGGCCCTTCTACTAGGTGGTCTACCAGCATTTGCACAGAAGAACTAGCTTTGTCTGAGGCAGGACCACCGGACTTAACAAGCACAAAGGTAGCCCCAGATGGAGAAAGCATGGAGGAAGGGACACCAGGTTCCTCTGTGGAGTCTTTGGATGCAAGTGTGCAGGCTAGTCCTCCACAACAGAAGGATGAGGAAGCTGAGAGAAGTGTAAAGGAACTTGTAAAGTGTGACTGTTGTTTAGATGAACAGGCTCCACAGCATCTGTGTAACCACAAGCTGGAGCTAGCTCTTAGCATGATTAAAGGTCTTGATTATAAGCCCATCCAGAGCCCCCGAGGCAGCAAGCTTCCTATTCCAGTGAAATCCAGCCCACCTGCAGCCAAGCCTGGCCATAACATGACAGATGGAGTTAGTTCCGGTTTCCTTAACAGGTCTTTGAAACCCGTTCACAAGACAGCTGTGAGTTATCCCTTGGAGATTACAGACCTGCAGGAGCTGTGGGATGATCTCTGTGAAGATTATTTGCCACTCCGGATCCAGGTATATAAAATGGCTACATAGTGCCTTTCTGATTATATAGCTAGTGAGCCTCAGGCGTCACATGATTTCTGTCTAAGTGAGGGTTAATAGTCTAGAATTGAGAAAAATCGATGAACCCACTGTGCTGCGTCTTCACACTCAGATAATTTGCTTTTCACAATCCTCTTTGTAATATTATCTGTTGGCCTTCCTGTTATCAAAATTTTTATGACAAAAAGGTAAAGATTGCCAATTAACTTTACCCTGCAATAAGAAGACATTTAAACTCATTGCTGGCACTGGAACTCTTTTCTCTTTCTTTTCCTTTTTTTTTTTTTTTTTTTTAAGATTTATAGATGTTTTCTCCCGGTGGCTTTCTGTAAGGAAGGAAGTTCTCCTCCATAGAGCATTAAGCCTTTCATGCCCAAGTATGCCTCAAAATGATTAGAGCATACGGTAAAAGTTTGGGGAAAACCTGTTAGTCCATCAGCAAAGTATTGTAACATCTGGGCAAGATTTATTGTAATTGATAGATCATTTGAGTACTAATGATGACTTGCTCATAAAAGAGGCTTGGAATTAATATATTGGCATTTAAAATGATAAGGCAAACACTGTCTTGCCAGGTGGTCTACAGAGCTCTACTGGGGTATGTTTGCCATTAAGAAAGGATTCACTTGTTATTGTGTGATACGAAAGTTTCTCCGTATATTCCCTTTCGAAATTTCTTAATGACTAGAGGATGGCAGTTGATCTTCATGTCTGCCCACCCAATTGTTTTCATACCAACCTTTTAAATTCAGCTATATACAGAGACCTGACAGATGCTATTGTGTTTCTATACCAACAGTAAGTGCTAGGTTCAGTTAACTTTGTGAAACATTCTGGCACATTCTGTTTGATACAAATTCTTTAGGTATACCGTTACAAAGGTCAACTGTCTAGAAAGCATTTTTGGAAAGCCTGCTACTGATCAACACAATCCCAGAAATTTAAACCTTGATTACAAATGAAATTGGTGATTGTCACTTGAAGTTTTTAAAAAGTAGTTCTTTATGATCAATATGTACATATATGTACATATACACATATATGCACAGGTCTAAATGTAATTTTTATCACAATAAAAACTTCAGAAAATGGGAGAAAGTTTTTAAATTTATACAAAATTATCAGACACAGTATATATTTTGAAAAAACATAAAAATCGAGAAGTTTTAAAATGTATTTTCATTTGTATAAAATGCTAAGTATTAGTATGCCTCGTACTTGTATGCTTCTTTTCTGTTGCTTATTTTCCTTTTAGTGAAGCCTTACAACTAAATTTGGCCTTTATAGCTGTTTCTGTGACCACACATAGGTGTCAAAAATTAAACATGATGTACTCACCATATTAGATTCTAAAGGTAGTCTGGGCAGGGTAGATGGGAAGCTTTTGTTTTCCCTCAAATATGACCAATACTTGGAAAATTACAGGCAAAAGAAAAGGAGGTTTTCCACCCCATATTTAATTAATTAAAAATAGTATCTTTTGGGCTTTGATTCATCAAAATTTGGAGTTGGGAATAATTTTAAAGATGATGTCATGTATTCTCTCGATATGAGATATGGATAAACCTTACCCAGATAGAGCCAAAGATTCCTGTTAAGCAAGACCTTTTCATTCTATATATTAGACCACATTGCCTGAAAAGTAAATATTTATTTTAAACTAAGAGCCCTCTTCTGTAACCTGAGGATCCTAGGAGGATGCTTTTCTTCGAAGAAAATTGTCACGGTAATGAGCACATAAACTGTGATAACTGTCCCTTTAGGTCAACTTCCTCTACTTCACTGAATGTGGACATTAGAAAACTAGAGCTTGAAAACAATAGTGTATGCCCCTTCTGTTGTCACCTGGCTTACCTTCTTTACTGTTTGTAGAATAATAAAACAGGAGGAGGGAGAAAATGGCATTCAGCTTGAAGAATCATGATATTTGTAATCACTATGCTGTTTTCGCCAATAATTAAGAATTCGGTAGAAAATGGATAAATTGAGCTAAAAGTGAGTGTAAATAAAATGTGTACATTTTTGACACCGAACTATTGTTTAAGTAGATTGACTTTTAAGCTCCTTAAGGGCTGTTGTGCTTTATAGCAAAACAAGAGCTAAGCAGGACAAAGGCAGACTGGCTTTTGTCAGTTTCTGTGAACAAATGTGAAAGAACAGAAATAGTATAAATTCTTTTTGGTAGTTCTCTTTTTAGTTCATAGAAAGAAAAAACCATGAAATTTTTTTTTCTTTAAATTCTACTACAAAGATGAAGAAAACCTCTTATCCTAAAGAATGAGAGTATTCTGTAAGGTCAGAATTTTGATTCCTTTTTTTAATCCTCCACTTCCCCCATTCTGTGCACCATTAAATATTACCATCAGGATTTCTCTCCCTTCCTTTTCTTTCTTCCTTATTTTAAAGAGAAGGGGGAAAAAAGCAACAGTGTAGTGGTCCTATTTACTAATTTTCTGAAATTATGCAAATTGATTTATTTCCCTTTTTTCAGAATTTGTACCTGAGGACCCAAGGCTGTTCATATATCTAATAAAAGATTTGAAGCCTTATGCTAGCTGGTAATTTCCTTCCTTATTGTCTGTTCCTAAACTAGAAAAGCTGGGATAAGGAGGGGAGTGCTCTCTTAGTAAACAGCAATTCAGAGAGCCCTGGCCCGTGTGCAATTTCCTTATCTATCTAGGAGGTCTCTGCTTCAAGCCTTGCAGTGCCAGGTTATGCTCCTTTGTGACTATGGCAAGTTTATCCCACTCATAGCTTAGCTACATTACCTAAATCAGGTCCTTTGGAAGATGTAAGAGTTAGATGCTGGTCAAAAATTAGGCCTTTAATTTCTTGCTAGTTGATGATTCTTGTCTGTCCCCCAGTATTAATAATAAAATAGAAAACTGCAGCAGTTTGAGATCTATGACACACTATTGTAAGGACTAGGAGAATGCCAAGAAAAATGCTGTTAACCAGAGGAGCTAAATAACTGCCTTAGCATTTGAAGGTCTTACATTATGCAGCATTAGACTTGGAAGCAGTTTTCTTTTCTGGTGCTGGAAAGGATTTGTCCTAATTTCTGAGTCAATAGTGATTTACCATATTTTACGCAAATAATGTATACCTTCTGTGTTTGTTTGCCGACTGCTCCCTCCCTCTGTTAAGTATTTTCAGAAGTGTGCCTGCTATGCCAATTTTTTTTTTACATGTTGCTATCAAAAAAATTAGCATAGCATGCTTATGAAAATACCTGGAGGGGTGGGGAGGGAGCAGTTGGTCAACAAACATAGAAGGCGCGCATTATTTGCATAAAAATAAGGTAATTTAAAATTATATTATTACAATATGATTTTAATAGCTGATAGTCTGGAGATTGACTAAACCAAATCAAGTATTACTGATTTCAGGCTCGAAAAATCTTCATAGAAGTGATGCTTTAAGTACTTGTTACTTTACAAGAATTCATGATGAGTTGTTGATCTAGTAGAACTTGCTAAGTCCTCTTTTGGCAAGGACATTTTTCTGAGAGATAAAATAATAAAGTATTAAGAATCAATAATAAATCATCTTCCAGTTTTTAGCTCAATGCATTACGTTTACAAAATTATGTGTTTCCCATAACTGTTCATGCCAAGATGGATTTAGATGAGACCAGATTCATAATGCATTTTCCTATGCCGTTCTTTGGCTTTGAAGTTGCTGTTGAATTTATACGTATGTATATATGTAAATTATAGATAGAATATATATACTGTGTGTGTATATAAAGAAAACCAAACCTGTTGGCCATTGATTCAATTCCGAATCATAGCGACCCTATTGGACAGGGTAGAACTGCCCCATAGGGTTTCCAAGCAGCAGCTGGTGGATTTGAACTGCCGACCTTTAGGTTAGCAGCAGTAGCTCTTAACCACCGTGCCACCAGGGCTCCTATGTATATACACTGTGTGTGTATATACATATATATACACACACACAGTCTTATGTATTCTGTCTAGCTACTATCCATCTATCTAAATGATAAATCTTATTTCTAAGAGACCCACTGAAGGATTAGAACACTGGTATGGGAATTAGGAGACAGGCCTGTTTTTGTTCTTGTTCATTCATTAAACAAAAAACTTTTGGACTCTACAAAGTTCTAGGTATTTCTGACATTATGGTAGGCAATGAGCTTATGATGAGCAAGACATTACCAACTTAAGTGCATTCAGTTTAACTGGATCTTTTTCCTGATTTTCTTTGTAATCTTGGGCATGTTACTTAACATTCTAGGTCTCCATTTGCTAATCTGTGAAATGGGCTTGAACCAGGTGATCAGTATATAAAGTTTCCTTCACAGCTCTAATAGTCTTTGACTTAAAGTGAATAAACGTGACCCCTTTCCCTGCCATTTTAAAATGAGATATTTTCTTTAATTCTGCTTCTTATAGATTAAATTTCAGAAATATCTTATAATAGTAAATGTTACTGAAAAGTTGTTTTACACTGAGGAAGTAAGAAGCCAGATTTTACAGAGAATGTTTTATCATTAAGTAAATGGTAAAGTTACCAGTTACAGTTGTTGTAAATAACTATTAAAATAGTTAGCTCTCTCTGTCTGTGACAGAATTCACATTGCCTCAGGAGTGAGGTTCCCTGTTATACCCACAACAAACATCTTCCATAACTTTTCTAGGAATCATTATCCTTGCTTCTTTTTTTCTCCCCTTTCCCGTTGTTCACATTCAAGTCCTGTTGACTTACTTTCAAAACATATCCAAAATCCATTCATTCCTCGTTCCCCTCCATTGCTTACCCTACAACCCAGGCCACTATTAACCTTTCACCTAGACTACTGCAGCAGTCTCCTAGCTGTCTCCATGCTTCTACTGATGCTCCCCAATAAACCATTCACCACAGAGCAGCTAAAGTGATCTTTTTAAAATATAAACATCATTGGGTTACCCTTCTGTTAAAAACACTGCAGGTCAGTATCATTTCAATGAGAGTAAAATCCAGCTTCATTAACCCTGGTTTACAAAAGCTGTGTATGATCTGGTCTCTGTATACCTTCCCACCTCATTGTGTGTTACTCTGCCTTTGCCTGTTGTGCTGTAACCCTGTGGTATCCAGTAAGGTAGCTTCTAGCCCTGTGTGGCTGTTGAGCACTTTAAATGTAGTTAGTCTGCATTGAGATGTGATGTGAATGGAAAATAATTCCCCAAATTTCAAAGACTTAGTATGAAAAATAGAATATAAAATATTTTAATAATTTTTTATATTGATCACATGTTTATGATAAAATTTTGGATATATTGGGTTAAATAAAATATTTAATTAAAATTAATTTAACCTATTTTTACTTTTTTCAATGATGCTACTAGAAAATTTAAGATGACATATATGGTTCGCATTGTATTTCTACTGGAAAGTGCTACTGTAGCCACAGAGGCCTTTCTCTTTCCCAGGTTCATATCCATCTTAGGTCTTTTCCGTTAGCTGTTTCTTCTGCCTGGATTGTTCTGTTCATCTTTGCAGGACTTGCTCTTTGTCATTCACATCTCTATTTAAATGCCACCTCTTAGAAACCTTCTATCAATCAATGTAGATAGCTTAACCACTAACTCTCTATTACCAAAAACCAAAACCAAACCCTTTGCCTTCGAGTTGATTGTGACTCATGGCGACCCTATATGCTTTCCTATTTTATTGCATAGTGCTTGTCACTATCTGATATTTTGTGTATTTCCTTCTTTATTGCCTAGCTGCCCACTCCAACCCTTATAAAATATAATTTCCAAGAGAGCAGGGACCGTATTTATCTTGCACATAGATGGTCTTCAAAAGATGTGTATTGAGTGAGTGGGTAAGCGAATGAGTGAATGAATGAAGTTAATATTCTACTGCTACTGGTAAGTACTACCCATTCTGTAGTAGCCAATGAATGGGTAAGCTTCACTCTCATTTCTGTTTAAAATAAGCAGTGGGGTCTAGGCTCTAGGGGAACTCTAGATTCTTTCCTGAGATGGTCCATCAACTGGTCAGAATTTTCATGATGATTTCTTTTTATTCCCTCTTTTGTTTATGTTTGTAATGGGGAATATTTCTTGATACCTATTTGATACCTTTGCTTTTTAGAATTATGAAATTTAACCTACAAAATAATATAGTGAAAAAAAAAATTGGGCTTAGAAGCTGTCTGGGTTTAAATTTCAGATCTACCACACTCGTTGGCTTTGTAGTCCCAGGTGACTTTCTCAGCTCTAGTTTCTTCATTCATAAGATGGGAAAAATAATACCCTCCTTAAAGCATGATTTTGTGAAGATTAAGTGAGAACTTTTATGTAGCCCCTAAGAAAGTATTTAGTAAATATTTTTTCCTACTAGTCTATAGATTTTCTAGATGCTCAGAAATGGCTACGGGCTTATAAATAGGATAACAAAATAAATTCAAGTTTGTCTCAAATAGTCCCAGAGGTTACACTTGTTGTGTCTTGATATAATTATTAATACCTGTTGCTGTCCAGTTGATTCCAACTCATAGTGACCCTACAGTAGGACCTGTCTAACTCTTCGAAGTGGCTTGGTTTGAGTGATGAAATATGTAAAGAAGTATATCAGAAGTCAGCATTTTGCATCCATTATCGGTGTATTTCCCTCTTTTGTTTCCTCTGCCTAGAATGCCCTTTCCTTAGCCACCATAGCTACCTGCACAAATTTTATCCCTCTTTCTGGGCCCAGCTTAAATTCTGTCTCTTCTAAGAAGACTTCTCTATCCTTCCTGTTAAAGTGAATATTTTCTTGTATATTTTCATGATGTGACTACTTCCTCAGTAGACCAAGACTGTTTGGAGCCAGGATCATGTGTTAGTCACCACTGTATTCCCCACGGTGCCTTATACAATACTTTGTATATTATAGTACTTAATAGATATTAGAAAAATTGATAAATAGCACAGGAGGAATTTAAAAAGATTTTTCTTCTGAAATCTTTATACTTCCAGTTGATTGCTTTCAGGAAGGGATTTAAGGTAGGCTGTAGCCTCACTGCTTAGAAAATGATAATCAGATTTTAAAAGTGTGAGGGAAAGAATGAATGGCAACTGCCCTTTTTGTTCTTCCTAGTAGGTTTGCATTTTTTCCTAACTGGAGTGTGTATGCGCGCGCGCATGTACGTGGAGTTGGGGGGGAAATGGAATTTAATGCCACAGTGAATTCCTAAAGTTTTATTTTAGTGCCTTTAGCGTGTAATGAATATTATGTAGACTTCAATAAGTTTATCTTAATGTGATTGGTTTTCTCATACATAAATAATACGCTTTTTTTTTTCTCTTGCATCTCTTCGGTGAATTGATATGCCTCTAAAACATTACTTTCCAGACCAGTATGGATTAGTCATTTAGACATGCACTGTAAATCTACCTTTAAATCCCATTGCTGTCGAGTCGATTCTGACTCAATGACCTTAAAGGACAGAGTAGAACTGCCTCATAGGGTTTCCAAGGAGAGCCTGGTGGATTCGAACTGCTGACCTTTTGGTTTGCAGCCATAGCTCTTAACCACTACACCACGAGGGTTTCTACCTTTAAGTAGGCATATGTTTTTCAGTTTAACTTTTAACTTTTAAAAACTTTTTATTTTGAAATAATTTCAAACTTACAGAAGAGTTGTAAGAGAATTATAAAAAACTCACATACACCCTTTACCCAGATACACTAGTTGCTAATAATTTGCCACACTTGTTTTAGCAATCCCACCCTCTATATGGACACATTATTTTTTTATTCCTGAAGTGCCTGAGGATTAAGTGCAGATGTTATGCCCCTTCACTCTAAATACTTCAGCATGTGTTTCCTAAGGATGAGACCATCTCTTACTTAACTGGAGTATAATTACCAAGTCCAGGAAATGTAGTGCTGATAAAACACTATTATCTAATATGTGAAAAACCAAACCAAACCCATTGCCATTGAGTCGATTCTGACATATAGTGATCCTAGAGGACAGAGTAGAACTGCCCTGTAGGGTTTCCAAGGCTGTATGTAATCTTTACGGAAGCAGACTGCCACATCTTTCTCCTGTGGAGCAGCTGGTGGGTTTGAACTGCCCACCTTTCAGTTAGCAGCCAAGTGCTTTAACCACTGCACCACCAGGGCTCCTTTGTTATCTAATATATAGTCCATATAAAAATTTACCATTTTTCCCAACAATATGATCAGGCATGTTGTAAGTAATTCAACTGTAATTTTTCCTCTCTTAGTTGTGGTATACGTTTGATCAGCATACTTTTTTTTTTTTTTAAGTATAAACAATTATATGTGCAAAAAGATATTTTTCTTTTTTAAAAGGCAAAGTAAATATGTAAAAATGATCAATTTCTGAAGTAGAAAACATGGTTGTTATAATATTCCTCTGTACTTGTCTAAATTTTCTTAATTCTTAAAATTAATAAATTTTAAAAGGCTATCATATACAAACATTTCTGAAGAAGCATATTATGTAACAAAATTCTTGCTAAATAATAAGGAATTTCATAGTTTATAAATTATTTTTTCCAACATTAACTATGAAAATTAAAAACATGGAAGAGTTGAAAGAATTGTACAGAAGTTGAGAGAAGTGAACACAAATATACACATCATCTAGAGTCTCCAAAAACATTTTACTATATGTGCTTCATCACATATCTGTCCATCTATCAAACACTGTCCATCTATCAAACACTAATCCATCTTATTTATTAATGCATTTCAAGGTAACTTACAGACATCAATATACTTGACTCTTAAATACTTTTCAGCATGTATATCAAGATCAGTATGCCTTTTGAATTCCCTGATTAAAAAAAGTAACAAAGGAATATTTGGTCTCGTAAGTATTTTTCTTTTATAATTCTCCCGTCTCTTTAAACTTTAGATTGTTTCCTTTAACTGAATATGGAATGTTTGCATGAGTTGGTAGGGAAAGGTGGGGAGGAGAGTTAGGGAGTATGGTAAGATGGAGGTGAATCAATGCTGTGTTCAGGAATTAATACTCCTAATTCATGCAACAACTGTGGATTTCCAAATCTCCTGCAAAAGATGCCAAAGACATTTGAAGATAAAATCGTTGGCTCCGTTTAACTCAACTTGTCTTGTTGCTTCTTCCTAGCCCATGACAGAAGAGCTACTCAAACATCAAAAGCTGAATTCAAATGAGACCACTGTAACTCAACAGCATGTATCTGATTCCCAGTTAGTTGAACTCCAAGAAAAAATCCAGCAAACAGAGGCCACCAACAAGGTATGATCAATAACATGCCCTTGGGGATCACAGGGTTTTCCTGAGGTTGGGACTTGGGCAGCTCTGTTAACCTCTCTGAGTAGGACATGGGAAATGAATACTATGTATTCCTGGTACTCTAGGGAATTTTTGATTTGAAAGTGTAGTTTTTCCCTTTATTGCTCATCAGGATTTTAGCTTGTTCTGTACACATCATGATTTCTGATGCCTTTTTGGTCTGTTATTAAAACTTGAATGCAATCTTTAACTGTGTATACTGAGATAGGAGGTTTGTGCTTTCGATTCTAGTGTAGCTTCTTACCCCTTTACAGCCCATGAATTTTCACATCTGCTTAGAAGAAAATTCTCACAATTTGGGATGCTGAGCTTCAGGCCTGGTAGTACCCATCCTATACTAGATGGCAGAAGCTCCTTGGTCTCTGTGTAAGGGATCCACAGTGACTCGTAGATAAGTGCCCCATCTGGCTGCCTTCATAGAGAAAGCACAGTGCATGATAATTGAGGCAATTGGGTACTGAAGGAAGTATTCTTATTTCTGCTACTTTCTCCTACTCATTGATTTATGAGGGAAAAACAACAACAACAACAAAAAACAATAATGTTCTCTAAGAAATTCCTTAAACCCTAGATTTGAGGAAAAACTTTATGGTTGCATTTGAGATTTTTAAAAAAAAAATCATTGACTTAACAAACTGTGTTTTTCTTTGCTGAATTTAGATTCTTCAGGAGAAACTAAATGAAATGAGCTTTGAACTAAAGTCTGCTCAAGAGTCATCTCAGAAGCAAGATGGTACAATTGAAAGCCTCAAAGAAACCCTGAAAAGCAGGGAAAGTGAGGTAAAATATTTAGCAATCAAGGATCTGTGAGGAAACTATTTGTCCTATCAGAGTGGATATTGTAGAAATATTGTAGAAATGGATATTGTCAGACTAACAGATCTCAGCCTGGAGAAATTGTAGCTTAACCTAAATTAGTATATTGGAATGGTTCCGTTACTAAAATCTGCATAGAGATTTTAGAATTTATATTTAGCTAATTTATATTATATCCTGAGATAATAGAATTTATATTCAGTTTAGTAATGTGTTTGGTACTCTGTTGCTCATTTTCAGACTGAGGAGTTGTACCAGGTGATTGAAGGTCAAAATGACACAATGGCAAAGCTTCGAGAAATGCTACACCAAAGCCAGCTTGGACAGCTTCACGTATGTGAGAGTCGCATAGAACAAGAGGAGAGACTTCTGTTGGGGATGTGCCATTCTCAGTCACAGTCTTGATTTTGTTGGTCTTCTCAGTTGCTCAGTGCTTGCCCTCTCGTGATTATGATTTCTACTCTCTTTTCAGAGTTCAGAGGGTACTTCCCCAGCTCAGCAACAGGTGGCTCTGCTTGATCTTCAGAGCACTTTATTCTGCAGCCAGCTTGAAATACAGAAACTTCAGAGGGTGGTATGCCAGAAAGAACGCCAACTGGCTGACGCCAAACGATGCATGCAGTTTGTAGAGGTTACAGCACATGAGAGAGAACAGCAGAAAGAGGCTTCGTGGAAACATAACCAGGTAAATCATTAACCATTTTTGGTCCTAAATGCTGACTTTGCCCTAATTATAACTTTGTTAGCAGGACAGTCCTGTTCCACCCGAGTCACTTGCTTAATCAGAGTAACTCAGTTCAAAAACATTTGTTGTCATGTTCATATGTGACTATTGGACTGCATCCTGGAAATACAAGAGTGAATAATATAGGCTCTTTCCTCTTAAGCTACTTAAAATTTAGTATGAGAGACAGTCACGTAAGTAGAATTTCAGTGTGGTAGAAGAGGTATGTATGGAATGCTATAGGAATGTATAGGAAGGGAGTCAGGGAAAGCTTCCTGGAGGAGGAAATGTCTGAGGTTATTCTTGAAAACCAAAAAAAAAAAGAAAAAAACCAAACCCATTGCCATCCAGTTGATTCCAACTCACAGCGACCCTATAGGTTAGAGTAGAACTGCCCCCACAGGGTTTCCAAGGAGCAGCTGGTGAATTCGAACTGCTGATCTTTTGGTTAGCAGCCAAACACTTAAACCACTGCGTCAACCAGACAGAAAAGTGGGCAAAGAACAACCAAGATCAAAGGAATAGCTTGGATGATTAACCATTTTAAAAGACAATAAAATATATAATTCTTAAATGGTTCCTTTATCTTCTTAGCTTAGAGCATATGCTATCTTTTTTTTTTTTTTAGCTCTTTTATGTGCTGTAATTCTTAGGCTTTTTAACATTTAGGATTAAAAAATGTAGTTTTTAAAGGATCTCCTAGGGTAACTGTTTTGGAGATTAAAATTAGCCCTGAATCTCCTTTTGAAATATTAAAATTTCAGATGTCTTTGGGCAGGGAGGTTGAAAGGTTGACGGAAGTAAAGGAATGGGAAATAATCCTTAACTTTTTGCTATTTATTTAAAGGAAACATTTTCCTAAGTTTTGTTAAGTTGGCGTGACTGTATATTTTTGTGCTTATCTGAAGTATAGGGTCACTATGAGTTGGAATTAACTCAATAGCAACGGGTTTGATTTGGTTTTAAATTAACAGATGGTTAAACCATCTCCATCTACAGGAGGATTACTGATCTTACTATTAGAAAAATATTATATATGGCAAATTAATAAAGATGATACTCTTCTGAATTCTTTAGAAAATTTGGATGAGAAGATGATAGAATTATCCCATCCTTGAGCTTATTGTAAAGGATCCAGGTTTACAGTGAGACAGAGTCCCACTTCCCACTTAATAGTTATATAGATCTATCTTTCTGCAAATAAAAATAAGTATTGAACTGTAATATAAAATTTACTTCCTACCTCCATCCTCAAGTACCGTAATTTTCCAGATCCTACTTAATTCAGTTACAATATTTCTATAGCAGTTTTAAGAATGGTACTTCCTGCTACTTTACATTTAGTTTTATGTGGCTTGGAAGTTTTAAGACCTCCATCTCTAATGACCATGTAAAGATTTTAGATTGCTTAAAAAAGGGAATGTGTTTTATTCAGGAATTAAGAAAAGCCTTGCAGCAACTACAAGGAGAACTGCAGAGTAAAAACCAACAACTTCATACCCTGGAGGCTGAAAAATACAATGAGATTCGAACCCAAGAGCAGAACATTCAACACCTAAACCATAGCCTGAGTCACAAAGAGCAGCTGCTGCAGGTAAGTTTACATAATGACTTCAACTAAAATTGGGCTCCTAGAGTTCCAGAGTTTCTGTTCATATAATCTTAAGGTATTAGTTCATCTGTGTTGAGTACTTGCTGCATATAGAACATTGAGCAGTGAATATCAAGAAGATTAAAAATAAATAGAAAATACAATACCTGAATCGAGATTCTAACCAACAAGTTTAGGAGACAATACATATAGACCTGAAAGACTTAAGCAATTAATATTCAGCAAATCATTATTAAGCACCTCTGTGAATCAGATACAATGCTAGGTGCTGGGAAAACAAAGAGAATATATGGCCACTATTCTCAATATTGCCTGCTCCCCAAAAGGTCAGCTGTTCGAACCCACCAGTGACTCCTCAGGAGAAAAGACTTGGTGATCTACTCCTATAAAGATTACAGTCTAGGAAACCCTGTGGGGTAGTTCTACTCTGTCACATGGGGTCCCTAAGTCGAAATTGACTTGACAGCACACAACAGTAAGACTAGAGTTATCAGTTCTACCACCTACTCCAAGTTCCAGTGACATTGAATCCCTTACATTTTGCTAAGCATACTATTTTTTTTTTAATAGTACGCATATTTTATATATATTTGGATAGAAATACCCACACCACCTCTTCATTTGGGAAAATCTAGGCTCTTTCCGAGTCTTCAAGACTCAGCTAAATGTTACTTCCTTTGTGAGGTCTTTAGTGACACCTTCAGGCAGAGTTAGACAATGCATCCTGTGTTCCCCTAGTTGTTAGTTGCTTTCAAGTCGATTCTGGCTCAGGGCAACCCGACGTGTGCAGAGTAGAACTGCTCCATAGAGTTTTCAAGGCTGTGACCTTTCAAAAACAGATTGCTAGGCCTGTCGTCTGAGGAAACGTCTGGGTGGGTTGGAACGGCCAACTTTGGGCCAGTAGTTAAGTGCTTGACCATTTGCACCACCCAGGAACACTATTCCCCTAGCAGCTAGCTCCAAACAAACACACACACACACACACACACGTGTGTACATATACATTTATGTATATTTATATATATGTTACAAAACAGTTAACCATTTATGTTTATCTTTTATCTCTGTTAAATAAACTGTGTTCCCCTTGAGGATAGTGATCACATTTGATTTCATCTTTAATAACTAACAAATTACTTGGCAAAGTGTAGGAATTCAGTTACTATTAGATGAATGAATAAAGGAAAAATAATTTTGCTCTCGTTAGGAATTTCGGGAGCTCCTGCAGTATCGGGATAACTCAGACAAAACCCTTGAAGCAAATGAAATGTTGCTTGAGAAACTTCGGCAGCGGATCCAAGATAGAGACACTGCTCTAGAGGTATGTATCGTAACTTTGCTCACTACGCTCTGGATTATCCTGTCCACACAGGCACTACTGAAATTTGCATCTACTTAATTTCACTGCTTTTGGGAGTTGGTTTTTCATTCCTCTGTATTTTGAATCGTATTGAATAAGGGTGATCAGGACAGTGAATACTCTGGAGCTTTCTTTAGGAGCTTTACTTTTCCTTGCAGCGAGCTATCGACGAAAAGTTCTCTGCTCTGGAAGAAAAAGAAAAAGAACTACGTGAACTTCATCTTGCTATTAGAGAGCGAGATCATGACTTAGAAAGACTGCGCGGTGTCCTCTCCTCCAATGAAGCTACCATACAAGTAAGAGCAAAACCTATCATTGACTTTCATTCTTCTCTGACCCCTTCCAGCGTTTTCTGAGAACAGGGTATTTGCCTTATAAGAAAAAAATACACATTGGTAAAAGTAACTACATAGGTAAATATAAAAAACAATGTAAATGTAAAAAAAAAAAGAAGAATACAAAAGCAAACACAAACCACAGTCACTAGTTCCACCATTGTAGATTAGGAAGTGAGACATGTTAGCACTTCTCCTTTCTTTTATACTATGATCTTTGTGTGTATGTTGGGGGTGAAGGCAGGGAGTATTGATTTCTATTTACATAGTCCTAATTTATTTCTGGAGCTCTGGTGGTGCAGTGGTAAAGAGTTTGCCTGCTAACCAAAAGTTCAGCAGTTTGAATCCACCAGCTGCTCCTTGGAAACCCTATGGGGCAGTTCTACTCTGTCCTATAGGGTTGCTGTGAGTAAGAGATGACTCGATGGCAATGGGTTTGGTTTTTTTGTTGGTTTTAATTTATTTCTAAGGAGTCCTGGTGGCACAGTGGTTAAGCACTCAGCTGCTAACCAAAAGGTCAGTGGTTTGAATCTACCAGCCACTTTGTGGGAGAAGGATGTGGCAGTCTGCTTCTGTAAAGATTACAGCCTTGGAAACCCTGTGGGGCCGTTCTACTCTGTCCTGTTGGGTCGCTGTGAGTTGGAATTGACTCAACAGCAGTGGGTTTAATTCATTTCTAATCTTTGTCAATATCTATACACTTTTACATAAGCATTATCAGGGTGCAATTATTATATTTTGTTTTTCTAATTAATATTATGTACATGTCTATGTATTGCCAAAATCAGCACACTTGTTTATTTTATTAACATTTTCTGTGGGCTTTTTCTTGCATACTTATTTTAGAACTTGTATGTCTAACCATCTGCCACTTCTTAAAGGGTTCCCTCACTGCCTTTATAGCATAGCCTACTTCCTATAAAACACTTCATTTATTATGTACACTATATTTATATCCCTACAAGCTAGATGAGGCTTTCTAAAAACACAAAGTAGGTTAGTATCACATTGTTAGATTAGATAGTAAGTTTTTTCCTTTGAAAGAAGTTCAGAAAAGTTGAACTTGCCCTTAGCAGATAATTTAAAGTGGGGTCAAATTTCTTGTTTATCCTGAGGAGTTAGGTTGACCTTCTGACTTACAGTTGCTCTCTCTGTGACCATAGAGTATGGAGAGTCTCCTGAGGGCCAAAGGCCTGGAAGTGGAACGATTATCTGCTACCTGTCAAAATCTCCAGTGGCTGAAAGAAGAAATGGAAACCAAATTTGGCCATTGGCAGAAGGAACAAGAAAGTATCATTCAGCAGTTACAGACATCTCTGCATGACAGGAACAAGGAAGTGGAGGCAAGACTTTAGTTAACTTAAAGACAGTTGGTTTAGTGATTACACAATCTCAGTCTTGGATTAGGATACTTGAGGTCTGAGAGGCCAGTGATCCAAGCCTTTAAAATTTTGTTCTGTGCCTGGTAAGTCATTGACTTTCACTGGGACTTTTCTCCAAGCCTGTAAACTTAAGGTGATAATTATCTTTCTTAGAGAAGTTATGTGAGAATTAATGGAATTAATGAGATCTACAAAATGCATTTATAGTATGATAGCTATATTGAGTGCTTATAGTGTGTCAGGCACTGTTTTACGATCTTAATGGATAATAACTCATTGGATCCTCACAACACTGTCAGGTACGTACTATTATCCTCGTTTTACCGACAAGAAAACAGATGTCTGAGGTCAAGTAAGTTGCTGTAAGTAACACAGCTAAAAAGTGGCAGAGCCCAGACAGTATGGCTGTACAGTTTTAACCACCATGTACTAACTCTTAATGTAGAAATAGGAACTGTGTCACCAAGCTAGTAAATACAGTGCTCATTATTATTTTTTTCAGCTTATCATTTTATGCTCACTCTGTGTAGTTACACTGGGGAGAAAATAAATGAAATAAATGAACTGAGTGTCCTTTTATCCTCATATAATATTAATTGTTATGTGCTCTGAGCAGGTGGGGAAAGAACTGTCTCAGAAAATAATATGTGAGTTGCCAGTATCAGTATTTTCGTGTGTGTGTTGTCAGAGTTCATTCACTGAACATGTATTTATAGCCTTCTGTGTGCCAGATCCTGTGCTAGATCTGGGGATACAGAAATGAATAAAACATGATACTTGCTCTCAAGAATGTCAGAACTCAGTGTAATCAGTTCTCTCTTTCTTCTGTGATGGGTTCTTATAAGCCCTTTGATATGTAGTAGAGAGAATTCCTTCCTCCAGAAACTCACACTGTCCCTTGTGTATTAGGATCTTAGTGCAGCAGTGCTCTGCAAGCTTGGACCAGGGCAGAGTGAAATAGCTGATGAGCTGTGCCAGCGTCTACATCAAAAGGAAAGGATGCTGCAGGACCTTCTAAATGATCGAAACAAGCAAGCCATGGAACATGAAATGGAGATTCAGGGTCTGCTTCAGTCCATGAGCACCAGGGAGCAGGAGAGCCAAGTAAGGACTAATGCAGAGATCAGAAGAGTATCAATTACTGCACTTACAGTCTGGAAGTAGGAAGCATCTGAAACTTATAAAATGTGTATATTTATATCATTTTATAGTAAGCTCTGTTTGTTTTTTCTTCAGTTTATTGACTAGACTCCATCAGTCATCAAAGTATGAAATATTTGTGGAACCCGTTTGCCTTTGGCAGGGTGCCTGAACAATATATGTACCAGTTAACTTCATTTACTTTTATTTTCTTTAATACTCTGATCATTTTGAGAGAAAGTTGTATGGCATTCTGAAAGGTTTTGGATTTTGATTCTAAAATATCAAGACTTGAGTAATATTTTGCATTTCCAGTCAAGGTATAAGAAAACTTACACTTCACATATTTTCTCTTAAATCTTGTAAAATCTACGTTATTTTAAGAGAGAAAAAAAGATTTTTTCTTTCCAAAGGTCATGGTGAGAATAAATAACCCCATAATGATATAGGATATATTAATCTCAGAATAATGGTACACAAGTATTTCTGAAGTAAATTCTTAATTTATCCTCACTTCCATGTATCTTTTTCTTCAAGGCTAGAGACTGTTACAGTTGACTTGTGCTGCATTTCAGGGACCAGTAACTCAGAATCCCTCTAGCTGGTTTTTAGAGGGGGCTACAGTCTTACATGGAGCCTGGTTGCACAGTGGTTAAAGCACTCAACCACTAACCAAAAGGTTGGCAGTTGGAAACCACCAGTGGCTCCATGGGAGAAAGATGTGGCAGCCTGCTTCTGTAGAGATTTACAGCCTTGGAAACCCTGTAGGGTTGCTATGAGTTGGAATCGACTCAACAACGTGGGTTTTTTTTGTTGTTGTTTGTTTAGATTCTTACCATTAGCCTTGTTATTTGACCATAATATTCTCTAATGTTTCCTTATCTTATAGGATGGCTGTATTCTACTTTTCTAATTCTCAGATCTGCTGATGAAAATTCACATTTTGTTAGAAACTACTGACGTGCTCCAGAAATTGCTTTTAGAATAGACCTAACAAAACAACTCAGAAAGAAATATTATATATTATATAGGTAGTAAAAAATGAAACCCAGGAGATGATGAAAATTTAAAAAGGTTGTTAGCACAAAAAGAGTAAAAGTTGTATTCTTCTAGATCTTCTTCTCACATTTTAATATGCAAAAGAATCACCTAGATAGCTTTTTAAAGACAGATTCCCCGAGCTCACCCCCATAGATAGAATTAGGAGGTATAAGGTGGGACTTGAGAATTTGCATTAGGTGATGCTGATGCTGCTGGTCCATGGACCACACTTTGAGGTGCACTGCTAGATTTGGCATTTACTAGAAAAAGAATACCAAGGCAAGTAGACAAAAGACCATATCTTATATGTTATTGATTTTTTTTCCATAATAATTTTCGCAGAGGTATTTATTAAGGCAAACTAGTAATGTACTGATAAATGGTTTTGCCCAAATTCCAAAGAGCCTCAATTTTACTTACCGAAAATGGAAGTTTTTTTTTTTATCCCCCCTAGAAACTATGACAAAAGTGCAGCTTCTCTTCTAAAACAGGTAGTAATTCTTCCCAGACACAGTTGGTGCTATGATATAGCTAACCTTGTTCCCATTCTCATTTTATACTGTCAGTAATTTTAGTCTTAATTTATTATCTGCAGGTTTTCTAATTAAATGCAGATTTCCTATGCAGTAATGGTCACAAATACAGGTTTCACCCGCTATCGAAAAGTAGAACATTCTTATGAAACCCTTTGTAAACTGAAATGGTGTAAAGTGAAGAAGCAATTACCATTAATTTATATGTGAAAAAATTTTGAGTGTTCCCAGACCCAAAAAATAACTTACCAAATCATACCAAATAACATATAAAAGCTAAAATAACAGTAACATATAGTAAAAGCAGGAATGATATGATTAACACACAGCCTTTATAAAGTAGAAATAATGTTGTACAGTGTAGTTTCACTAACCAGAATCAGAAAAACAGCGAGCACACTGGAAGGCCAGTTTTATGCTAAGTGAACACGCTTACAAGCTCTCTTAGGCTTTTCTGATACTTTAGGACACATCTTGCTAACAGATGCACGAAATAAATTGAGATAAAACACAGATGCTCATAGACACAGTTCAAAGCTATGGCGGCTCAATGCTGAGGTGTTGAGTATAGTTCAGAGGAAGGAGCTTGATGATGGCCACTCTCACTGCTCGGGCTGCATGCTGCCTCCTTAACAGCTAGCTGCAAAACAAACACTGAATGCTATTTTCGCTTTTCTCCTTTTTTCATAAAAGTGAAAATCGTCTTTGGGTTTCTTTCAGTTAGTGAAAACAGGTACTAATGTAGATCTCATAAAAACTAAGTGGTGTAAAGTGAACTTTTGAAAAGCAAGGGATACCTTTAATGTTCTAATTCTTTCCCTTATTGTGTCATCTGTCTAGGAAAACTGGATTTGAAATGAAACAAACTGGGCTTGGTGGTTCTGAGGTTCAGATTCCCCAGATTGTATGGTCTGATAAAAATGTTTGTGTAATTCTTCTTTCAATAAGTATGTATTGAATGCCTGCTATGTGCCAGACACTGTTATGGGTACTTGGAATTCAGCAGTGACCAAAATATCAAAGTACCTGCTCTTAGGAAATTCACATTCCAATTTGGGGAGAGAGAGACAATAAACACTTGTCACGTAGCATTGGAAAAAAATAAAATACAGCAAGGGTAGTTAGGGATAGAGAAAAGCTTGCTGTTTTAGATAGGGTATGCAGGGAAGGCCAATCTGATAAGGTGATATTTGGCAAAGAGCTGAAGGGAGGGAACTGACCACATGAATGTTTGGGTAAAAAGCATTCCAGGGTGAAGGAATAAATCATCTGTTATTCCAATTCAAACCAGAATCTTAAAACCTTAGCCTGATAGAGTTCTAGCAAAACCAGTTTTCAGATTCTCTCATCTGGAATAGATGTGCTATATTCAGTTTTTTTCAATGTTCTGTATGAGAGGCTTTCTTTCCAGTCATTTGCCTATGTTTTTCCCTGTAAATTGAAAGCAAGAAAACTATTTCATAGGGCCCCACTGGCTTTTCAGAAATGGTTGGCTTTTAAGAAATAGCATCAGATTACAAATTTTATTTTACTAGGGCATTTTTCTAATGTTATGCCTGATTTCCTTTTACTAGGCTGCTGCAGAGAAGATGGTACAAGCCCTAATGGAAAGAAATTCAGAATTACAGGCCCTGCGCCAGTATTTAGGAGGGAAAGACTTCATGACGTCCCAAGCACTTATGTCTAACCAATCGGCTGAAGTTACCGCCATTGGCCTCCATCTTGGAGGGCAACCTGATCAAGTAAGAAGTATAGACAAGTGTTAGATGTTCATGCAGAATGTATTCCCTTTTAACATTTGAGTTTAATATAAGTTTGATAACTTTAATACCAAATCCTGTAAGAATATTCCAAGTCTTTGTCATTGTGATTGTGGTTCCTAGATCTTCCTAAATTCCCGTGATTTTTCCAATTTTTAGGATTCAATGCAGATACCCTCCAGAGATGACAGTGCTTGTTTGACTGCCAAAGGGGATTCCAGCATACCTAGGTCCACATTAGGTAAGTATCAAATTCCATTTCATGCAGGAGTTGTCTGTCTCTCCTTCCTGTAACTCTGTTAGTGGGTTTAGCCAAGGTGCTTCACTCTTTCTTTTCTTACTTTGATGGAAAAAAATAACTTTGTATTTCCCTGAAATACATTGGTAGTTTAACAAGTGATTTTCTATTTCTAAAATTTCTGCTTTATGTATTGGTGGATATTCTTTTATAAAGAAGAGCTTTCCTTCTCCAGTCCTCTCAGCTCCATTTGTTTGCTTGTGTCAGTATGACCTATTGAATTATTTTACAAATATTATTGCATCATCCATTTCTGTCATTATTCTACTTGATTTCCAAATTTGGCCAACGGGAGTATCTTCAAGCTGATTCCTCTGTCCTTTTGGTATTTTTCCCATCAGTTTTTGTCTATATCCAAACTTTCTGGTATAATAAAATGTTCTGCAATCATCTTTTACCTTCCTTGCCTCAGCCCTGGAATCAGCCATTACTCCAAGGAGCTCCCTAGTTCCTTTTAGTGCGGAATAGAAACTAAAATCTAGGCACAAGGTGTGTCCGTTGCTACAGTGATGTCATTGGCTTCTAGGCCCTATTAACTGAATAGAGCTGAGAATGTATATAGCTCACAGTTTCACACTGATTAATTCCAGTTTAACAACACAAGTTCTTTCTTTCTCTTATTCTATATTTGTACCTCTCCTTCACCCAACATTGAGAACCTTGGTTACTTACAACATCAATGTATTTATGCATTTGCTTCATACTACAGTACATAAAAATAGTTTCAGAATTGCTATATGATACCTATCAACAATAAGTCTATTTAAGTAACATGTTTCTTTGTACAGGCAGTCCCCGGGTTACAAACTTCAGAATTATGGACAACTCATACTTGCCTTTTAATGTTATGTAAATTTGCCCTCACTTTGAAATGATTGAACCAATTCCTACTCACAACAAATTCTTCATCACAATCACCTTCACTTGCCACACATGCAGCTTTTAAATCATTGAAAGACTTCAAGCCTTTTCTTGCACTAAAGTAAGGCCAAATAATAACCATATGCACCTGTTCTAACTTACCTACAAATTCGACTTAAAGACTTGAAGACACAGGAATGGATCTTGGACTGCCTATAATTCTTTTTATCCTTAGAATATATCCCACTGCAAAAGTTACTTGGATTAATTTTTTAAATTATCTTCTGGGTGCTATATAGGTTCATTTTTTTCTGTTAGTATTCAATTTTAGGCTTTTTCTCTTCATTGTTGGACCAGCTTTATACATTAAAAGATAAAATATTACCATGGTTCAGAATTCAAATAGTCCCATCTATTTCCTTACCCCTTCTCTCCTGCTTCCACTGATCCCCTGTAGGTAACCAATTTCATTTCTGGATTATCCTTGTTTCTTTTTGCAAAAGTAAGCAGATCAGTCATATGTGTTTGTGGTGTGTGTGTGCTCTGATTTACCCCCTTTTCCTGATACAGTACGTTCTTTTGCACCTAGCTTGTTTCACTTAACAACATATCCTGGAAATCACTTCATATCTATTCTTAAAAATCTTCCTTATTTTATTTTATTTTTTTTACATATGTAGATAGTACTGTATTGTGTGAATATGATGTGGTCCATTCAGTCTTCTCTTTATAGGCATGTAGCTGATTGTAGTATTTTACTATTACAAATAATGATGCAAAGAACAACCTTGTGTGTGTGTGTGTGTGTGTGTGTGTGTGTGTGTTGTGTTGTATAGCTGGAGAGTGCCTTCAGAGTAAATTCTTTGATCACATTATGTTAATAGTGATTAAAGCTAACTTGTATGTTCATTTGTAGGAGATTTGGGTACCGTTGCAGGGATGGAAAAAGAACTGAGTAATGCCAAAGAGGAACTTGAACTCATGGCTAAAAAAGAAAGGGAAAGTCGGGTGAGTTTTCTAGCCATGTGTCATGGGTTGAATTATGTCCCCCAAAAATGTGTGTATCAGTTTGGCTGGGCCATGATTCCTGGTATTGGGTGATTTTCCTATACGTTGTAAATTCTGCCTCTATGATGTTAATGAGGGAGGATGGGTGGCAGTTGCTTTAATGAGGCAGGACTCAATTTAGAAGATTGGACTATGTCCTGAGGCAATCTGTTGAGATATAAAAGAGAGAAGTGAGTAGAGACACAGGGGGACCTCATACCACCAAAAAAGCAGTGCCAGGAGCAGAGCATGTCCTTTGGACCTGAGGTCCCCATGCGGAGAAGCTCCTAGTCTGGGGTAACATTGATGAGAAGGCCGACAGAGAGAGAAAGCTTTCCCCTGGAGCTAACACCCTGAATTTGGACTTTTAGCCTACCTTACTGTAAGGAAATAAACTTTGTTAAAACCATCCACTTGTGGTATTTCTGTTAACAGCAGCACTAGATGACTAGGACACCATGTGTAATTCTAAATACCTAATCTTTTTTCTTCTAAAATAGTTTATATTTAAAAGAGTGCAATTATCCAAGTAAAATATCTGGGTCCAAATGTAAGATATTTCCTTTTTGTTTTTGGAGAAAAATATAAATTACTTTATATATACATTTTCTTACCAACATGTTCTTCTTTTTATAAACAAGAATTATTAAAACTTTTCAAGTGTTAATACAACATTGCTTTCTCTACCCATTACCAACTGGAATAAAAGAATTGTGAAACACTTGTTAAAATGAAGTGCTATGTAATTGCTGTTTAGAATTATGACATTAGATCCATGAAATTAGTTTTAGATACACGAAACAAGAGAAATGCGAGCATGATCAATATAGTGCTCACTGTATGCAATGCACTGTGCTAGGTACTTAAAATACGTTAGTGCTAATGCTTACAACTCTGTGCAAGGTAGATGGTATTTGCCCTGATTTATAGATGAAGAAGCTGAAACACTGTTTTGTTTTGTTTTTTTAACATAGGAGTGGGGCATAGTCATATAACTATTAAGGCCAAAGCTAAGATTTAGACCCAAGTCTTTTGTGACTCCAAACACTGTCTAAGAAGTCATTTCTTGGAGCAGAACATTTTTCCCATCCTTATGCTTTAACTATTTCTAGTAATGGCATTTACATCAGTGTTCTTAGAAAAGGCTTCTCAGCCTTACAGAATCTCTTCCCTGTCTGCCTTCTCTGTATAGTTCTGTGTCCAACTCTGATATAGAAGAAATGTTAGGGCTACAGCATAGAGCTACAGACTACAGGTTAAAGCCTTTATGTTAGTTGGCATCTGCTTTAGATCAGTCAGTGTCATTGATTCCTGAAATGTTTCCTAAATTAGCTACTGTGTCTAGCTCTTCAGTCTTGTTCTACCTCTTTGCCATAATTAGATCTATAATACAAAACCTGTGTTCGTGTGTGATGGAATTATCTTATTGTACCTCTTAACTTCTCTTTTTATTACCACAGTCCTGCTTACAATCAGCCTCATGTTATGTGACTTAGTTCTGAGGATGTGAGAGTTTGTGGTATTTTAAAAATAACAGTTTTAAAAGTCCCCTGATGCCCCTCCCTATTTTTTGGTCTACCCTAGCCATTATCTGATTATGCATGTAAGACATTTTATGTTCCACATATTGTTCTGTTTTTCTCATATATACTCAATCCAGAGTAATATTACTTTTTGGTTCTAATCTGTTTTCAGGATCATAAAATTCTAATGATTATAAATGGATATTGCAAGTGAGTGATATAGCTATATTGCTTACCTTTATGTATCTTTAATCAACTACCCACCTCTCATTCCAGTGCCATATATATTCATTATCACATCTTCTCTAATGTTGGGTATTTACCAAAAGCCCTGTATATTTTCCTATATTTTCAAACATTTTTCCTATTGTCTTGACATAATAACAATAGTAATAATAATAATAATAGTTATAATAGTAGTAGCAGCAACAGCAGTACCGGCAGTATTAGTCCCCATTCATTGATTGCCTGCTATGTACCAGGCATTTTAAATATGTTTTCTGTAATTCTCACACAGCCCTGCAAATGCTATTATTAGATATTATTATTAGATATTATTTCCATTTTATAACTGAGGAAACTGAGGCTCAGTTTAAATGCCTTGTCGAGGAGATTATGCCAGGATTTAAAACCCATGTCTGTCTGACTGCAGACCTTTATCATACTGCAATCATTTCTCTTCTTCTTGTTTTCATTTTTCTTCAATGGAGCAAATACCTGGATATATAATGATGGAGTTCCCTGAAGAGGGCCAAATAAATAGCACTCTTTTTTCCATATTCAAGATCTGAACAAATTGAGAACAAATTGAGAAATGAAGTAGTGGCAGATAGTTTGATGGACAATCAACTTTATTACTGATAAACACTTAAGTAGAGAACTTAATTCAAGAGCCAAGTGGGCCTTCTAGCCAAATCCCAGAATTAAGGAGACTTACCTACCCACTCACAGGCAACAATGAACATTGGTCGTTGGCAGACCACACTGCAGGGTGGGAAGAGCTTGCCCTTGGAGAAGCAGTGGAGAGTAAACAGGCTTCCTGCAGACAGCTGTCTCTCAAGAAGAAGGGTGGGGTTGAGTCACCCATGCCTGGCTTATTCTTCCCCAGTCTTCCATTAAGATAAACCTCTCTACTTCCCTGGGGCTGAGTAAAGAGTGAAGAGTGGTCAAGAGTTAACACTAATTAAGCTCCAACATGGGAGGAAACATTAGGAGAATAATTTCCTCCTAACATGCCACAGTAGCCCAGAACCATCAAATAACTGTGTAGTTATATGTCATCATGAGCCTACTTAGTGATACTATAATTGATGGAATTAGAAGATATGCAAGTAAAATTTTTATTGCTTATAACTTAAATTTTATATATGTAATGGAAGAGGTGTTAAACTTTCTTCAGGAAATGTGTTCATATCTTAAAATAGCTTGTGTGCCATCTGCCTTTACTTGTCATACCTATTTTATTTTTTTGAATTATCCTAAAATATTTCTTTAAAATATTTACTTAGAAATAACTTGTTATGTTATCGTTAGGTGCCATTGAGTTGATTTTGACTCATAGTGACCCCATGTAACAGAGTAGAACTCCCCCGTAGGGTTTTCTTGGCTGTAATCTTTACAGAAGCAGATCACCGGCCAGGCCTTTCTCCTGTGGAGCCACTGGGTTTATGGTAATGCGTTGGAACCGCCAACCTTTCAGTTTATAGTTGAGCGTTTAACTGTTTTGTGCCACGAGGGCTGCTTACAAATAACTTGCCGTTACCATAAACCTTTCAGCTAGAAGTTGAGTGCTTAACAGTTTTTGCCACCCAGGGATTCCGTCTTTATGGTAATGGAACAAATCTTGCTGTTACCATAAAGACGGAGTCCCTGGGTGGCGTAAACGGTTAAGCACTTGACAACTAGCCAAAAGGTCAGTGGTTCAAACCCACCTCGAGGCCCCTTGAAAGATAGACCTGGTGATCTGCTTCCAAAAGGTCACGGCCTTGAGAACCCTATGGAGCAGTTCTACTCTGCACACATGGGGTCGCCATGAGTCAGAATCAACTCAACAGCAACAAACATTAATAACACCATAAAGACTATATGGATGTGTAATATCTATTTAAAAAAAACAAAAAACGCAAACCTTTTGCTGTTGAGTCAGTTCCGACTCATAGTGACCCAGTGGGACAGAGTAGAACTGCCCCATAGGGTTTCCAAGGTTGTAAATCTTTACAGAAGCAGATTGCCACATCTTTCTCCCATACAGTGTCCAGTGGTTTCAAACTGCTGACCTTTTGGTTACTAGCCAAGTGCTTAACCACTGTGCCACCTAGGCCCCTTGTAGTATCTGTAGGGAAGACATTATGGCTTCATGCCTCTGTGTCTGCTTCTCTGAGTTTACATCCTGGATCTACCACTTAACTAGCTCTGTGACTTTGAACAAGTTTTTTTTTTTTTTTTAATTGTGCTTTAGATGAAGGTTTACAGAGCAAACTAGCTTCTCATTAAACAGTACACATATTGTTTTATGACATTGGTTAACAACCCCACAACATGTCAGCACACTCCCTTCTTGACCTTGGGTTCCCTATTACCAGCTTTCCTGTCCCCTCCTACCTTCTAGTCGTTGCCCCTGAACTGGTATGCCCCTTTAGTCTCGTTTTGTTTTATGGGTCTGTCTAATCTTTGGATGAAGGGTAAACCGCAGGAGTGACTTAATTACTGAGCTAAAAGGGTATGTGGGGACCATACTTTCAGGGTTTCTCCAGTCTCTGTCATGCCAGTAAGTCTGGTCTTTTTTTGTGAGTTAGAATTTTGTTCTACATTTTTCTCCAGTTCTTTCTGGGACCCTCTATTGTGATCCCTGTCAGAGCAGTCAGTGGTGGTAGCCAGGCATCATCTAGTTGTACTGGACTCAGTCTGGTGGAGGCTGTGGTCTTTCCCTTGTAACTTTAGTTTTCTTCATTCTCCCTTGCTCCCAAAGGGGTGAGACCAGTGGAGTATCTCAGATGGTCTCTCACAGGCTTTTAAGACCCCAGACACTACTCACCAAGGTAGAATGTAGAACATTTTCTTTATAAACTATGTTATGCCAATCGAGCTATATGTTCCCCAAGACCATGGCCCCCATAGCCTTCAGCCCAGTAATTCTATCCCTCAGGGAGTTTGGATGTGTCTATGGAGCTTCCATGACCTTGCCTTATACAAGTTGTGCTGGTTTCCCTAGTACTGTGTACTGTCTTGCCTTTCACCAGTTACCGCTTATCTATTGTCTATTTAGTGGTTTTCCACCCCCACCCCTCCCCTCTCTTGTAACCATCAAAGATTGTTTCTTTTTGAACAAGTTTCTTAACCTCTCTCAGCCTCGGTCACCTCATCATAAAATGTGGAGTTCTTATTTAATGGAATTGCTGTGAGGATTCACTCATTTATTCCTCAAGTATATGAGTACCTTCTGTAAGCCAGGGTTAGTGGTAGGGATGAGGTAGCGAACAAGATTAACTAGGTCCCTGACCTTATGTAATTAATTTCTACTGGGGAGAGATGGACAATAAACAAATAAGTAAATAAGTGTAGACTGTAGTAAGTGATATGAAGGAGATAATAGAAAGTAACATGGATGGCACCACCTTAGATAGGGTAGCCAAAGAAGGCTTCTCTGAGCAGATAAGATTTAAGCTGGGACCTGATGATGAGAAGGAGGCATCCATAAAACCTGGGGAAGATATTTCAGACAGAGGGTATAGTAGGTGCAAAGGCTTTGATTCAAGAGAAAATCTAGTGTTTCTAGAAAAGTGCAGTGTGCCCAGAGAGTTGTGAATGAGGAGTAAAAACAGGTATTGAACTTGAAGTAGACAGGAGCCAGATGACAAGGTTTTTTAAGAGGATTAAATATATGCAAAGCATTTATCATAGTGCCTGACACGTAGTAAGCACCCAGTGAATGTTAGCAGCTATTGTTATGATTATTAATGAACTTTGTCGTAATCAAATATTTGTCATTTCCTCATGAGGAGTGATGGAGGATATAACTGGAAGTTTAGAGTATACAGTGCTAAATTTTGGTAAGACTTCTTCATAGTTGGTGGCATGTTCTTCCGTTAAGAGGCATGTAATATTTAATGATGTCTGTGGTGTTAGTAGCTGTTGATGCTCAATGCCTATATCTATTAATTCTTTAGGGATTGCAAAATGAATGTATTCTCATTCTATCATTTCTTCATCTATTAACTGCAATACTTCTATAAAGAAAAATTTCATCTATTCATACATTCACTAATGGTGTATACTTTTTAAAATATCTCAATAAACTCATGAATTAAATATATATATTCTGTTTCACAAGGAACCCTGGTAGCACAGTGGTTAAAACACTCGGCTGCGAACCGATAGGTCGCAGTTCAACTCACCAGCCACTCCTTGGGAGAAAATGTGGCAGTCTGCTTCTGTAAAGATTACAGCCTTGGAAACCCTATGGAGCAGTTCTACTCTGTCCTGTAAGGTCGCTATGAGTCAGAATCGACTCATCAGCAGTGGGTTTGGTATTGTGTTTCACAAGGACCCCTGCTGGTGCAATGGTTAAGTGCTCAGCTGCGAACAAAAGACCTGGCCATCTGCTCCCGTAAAGGTTAGAGCCTAGAAAACCCTGTGGGGCAGTTTTCCTCTGGCACCTGGGTGTCTGTGAGTTGGAATCAACTCAATGGCACGTAGTAGCGACAACATTGTGTTTTACAGTGCTGTCTCAAATGGGATACATCACTAGAAACAACTACTATGGCTTTGGTACCACACTGTATGGTTTATTGATCTGATCCAGTGGAGCACTGTTCATGTTCCAGTTTTCACTAGTATTACCGGCTAATAGTGATATGATATGGAAAAACATTTTGCCTCAGCGTTAAAATGTAAATGTGACAGATATTGTTTCCTTTGCCCATTAACTTCAGGATTTCTTCTCCCCACAGATGGAACTTTCTGCTTTACAGTCCATGGTGGCTGTGCAAGAGGAAGAGCTGCAGGTGCAGGCTGCTGATATGGAGTCCCTGACCAGGAACATCCAGATTAAAGAAGACCTCATAAAGGTCATTCAAAGCTTTTTAAAGACCATTGGAAATGATTGCAGCTCACAATACCAGTAGGGCATCTTCAAATAATGTTTAGTCACTTGGCCAGTGCTTATTTCCTTGATGCATTGTTAGTTCGAGTCTCTTAACCATATTCCTTTTGACTTGTGTAATAGTTGCAGAGATTTCATAAAGAAAATGTCATTATCAACATCCCACTTGAAAGTATAGCAGACTATTTCGGAAGCAGGTGGTCCTTTGCTCCTCTGCTAAATAGTATTTTATTATACTTTTTTTTTTTTTAATCTCTAGGACCTGCAGATGCAACTGGTTGATCCTGAAGACATACCAGCTATGGAATGCCTGACCCAAGAAGTCTTACTTCTTCGGGAAAAAGTTGCTTCAGTAGAATCTCAGGGTCAAGGAACTTCAGGAAGCCGAAGACAACAAGTAAGTAGTTGGAATACAGACCTTACTTTTACTGTGAAATCGACAGTGGAAAGGCTGTCATCTCAATTATTTGTGGTCGGTCGATGATATTCTATAGAGAATCAGTGAATTTCCTACTGTGGTCATTAGCAGCCATAGATGTCCTTTTCTGAAAGGAGCAACAGTTCTTGGACTCACACTTTCGTTTTTCTCTCTCAAGTAAAGCCTTCTCGTGTACCTGCATTTAACCACATTCACACCTCTCCCAACTTAAAAAAGAAAAAAAAAAAAAGGTAGGAAAAAAAAAAGCCTACTCACTCCTAAATTCCTTTGTAACATCCTCCCATGTCAAACCTCTCTTGGATGCCAAATTTTTCAAAAAGATTTACTTACCTATATTCTCTGTCTCTCTTATCATCTCTCTCACTAACTACTCATCTCACTCCTATCTGGCTTTTAGCTCCAGGGGTTCACTTAAACAGATCTCTGCTTTCTAGTGCTTATCTCAGCACATCTTCTTTATAGCACTTACTACAGCTCACAGTGACCCGTGACTGTGACTGATGACTGTTTCCCCTACTAGGTCATAAGCTTATCCTTAGAACCTAGAACAGAGCCTGACACATAGAAGGTGCTCAATAGTATTTGTTGAGTGAATGAAGAATACTAGTAAGTGCTACCATATATGTTTCCCTCTCACCATTCCTTCCTCTTTCCCCACCCTTTTTCCTTAGCTGCTTTGCTCAGTTCTGCCTTCTCCCTCCTCTTTTTCCTCTTCTTGCCACCATGTATGAATTCTGCCTTTTTTTTAAAAAAAGACAATGAATGTGTTGATTTGAAAACTAAGATACTGTAGGAAGCTTAAGAAGTAATAAGGAAGTGGTCTTTTTTACTCATTGTTCCCTGCTAATGCCTTCTTTTGGTCTCCTCAGGATTAACTGCAGCTTCATGTCTCACTTTACCATTTGCATGTTGCTTCTTTCTTCTTTCCTCAGTTGCTCCTGATGCTGGAAGGACTGGTAGATGAACGGAGTCGTCTCAATGAAGCCTTACAAGCAGAGAGACAGCTCTATAGCAGTCTGGTGAAGTTTCATGCCCATCCAGAGAGGTAAGAGAGTGACTGTACGTTTTCCCTCTCATTTCTCATCAAGTCCAGATGCCTACGATACTGAAGGCTGGAGTGAAAGGAAGAAGAGACAATGCTGGGGCTGCCCAATTTGTCATTTATTGTATGGATTTCTCTTAGCCTCAGTGTCTAAATCTTAAATCAAGAATGATACCTGGTTACTTAGCTATTGAGAGATTAAATGAGAAGATATGTCACGTGTCTAAACCAGTGCCTGGCATGTAATAAGCATTCAGTGTATATTCCTTGCCTTTCTCTGCTCCATGTCCTGTGGATCACTGGTCTACTGTAAGAGTAAGGCTATAAACGGCACTGACATTCATTGCATATCAGTGATCCTGGGGTGATATCTAGCCTCTTTTTCCTTTTCCTGTTTTTTATTCTTTTACTATTCAGTTTCTTCTAGCTTGTTGTTAATTTTTTTTCTTCTTTTTAGCTCAAGAAAGTGAAGGCAGAGGAAAGGTATCATAGGCCACCAGATTGTGTTACTTTCTGAAAAACCTCTGGATCTCTGTAAACTAAATTCCTCTCCAGAGCACTGTCCACTTTGTTAACAAAGGAGAAAGCAGATATCTTCAGTGGTAGTCCTACTTGACTCAGTCTTGCTTCAGTTTGCATTTAGTTTTTCTTGTCTTTTAGTTTATCAGAAAGTAAAGCTCTAGTCAAATAATGAAATTCTTATGTGAGCTATAATGTTATGAGATAAACCTTAGGCTCTATAATTTTATGTGAAATTGACCCAGAATCTAGCATAAAGGGGCCAACTTAAAGTAATCTACCAACAGTGAACACAAGTGCCACGACAAAGACTACATTCATTTATTGTGTCCTGGAGAACAATTACTTTAGAAAGTCTCACGGCTTACAGTGGCATTGAAAACATATGAGGACTCATTACAGTTGATCACTAATCGATTTTCCTTCCGTGTGGCATGTGTAATCAGCTCTGAGAGAGACCGAACTCTGCAGGTGGAACTGGAAGGGGTCCAGGTGTTACGCGGTCGGCTAGAAGAAGTTCTTGGAAGAAGCCTGGAACGCTTAAGCAGGCTGGAGACCCTGGCCGCCATTGGAGGTGGGGAACTGGAAAGTGTGCAAGTTCATCACAAGCATGCCTTCTGAGCACTGGCGGGTCATGCTGCAGCCCAGGATGGAAAACCTTGTTTGCACTAACCAGAGAGAGCCTTGTCTGACTTTGGCAGAGTTAACTGGTGACTTACTAATGATAGAACTGGTACAAGTAGCGTCAGCTACAAAGTGAAACTCACTTTAGACTGTCTGCATCTCACTGTACGTATCTATCTCTAAATTGAATGGTGGAGGCTACAAAGTGAATTTGCACATTTGAAATCATTCGATTTTAGTTTTCCCACCTGTATTCATTCCTTTCCCTAGCCTCTCCTTCTCATTCTCTCATCCCTTCTTTGGGCCAATAAAGTTTATTCCTCCCCCACTTTCACAATCCATTTCACACGTTCCATATCATGTCACAGACGCATGCGTGTGTAATATTTTTGTCATTCAGTGAACTCCTGCTCTTTGAATGAGAGCAGTTTGTTTTTTTAAATCAAATAAAGGAAAAATTTCGAGAAGAGAGAGATTGAGAGTCTATAGGAAGACTTTGCAAAAGTGGTACACTCCTTAACAAGTAATCAAAAGCGAGAGAGTAGTCTTGTAATAGTAAACTGCAAGCACTGGGAGGGCTAGCCAGCTAAAGAGCAGAGGCAAAGACTTTTTAAGTGCTTATAGTAAATCTTTACCTCTAATATTATTTCAGAGTTGATTACTGAATGACACAGGTGAATCAGATTAGGTGCAGATTAAATTCCATTTGGAAATTTTTTCAATGACCCCTTTAAAAACCAAACCAAACCAGTTTGCCACTGAGTCGATTCCAACTCAGAGTGACCCCGTTAGGTTTCTTTAAACCAAAGACATGCTATATTTAGTCAGAGCATGACTTCAAGAAAGCTCCAAATCTTCCAGAGTCAGAATTCTCTGTGTACAAAGATAATTTCAAATAGAATGTCGTCCCCCTTGAAATTCAGTATTTCAGACAGGGTAAACTTCAGTGAACCTTTGTTTATATTGCTTACTTACTTCCATTTGGTAGTGGCATTAGACAGAGTCCTGTACTTCGTGCTGACACATTTCTCCATATAGAAATGCGTAATAGGCTTCAGGGTTTGAAGTGCTTGGATAGCTTAGAATGAAATGTGGTCGCAGATCTGTGTTCCTAGTTTTAGTTATAGTCTCAATGCTTTCTTGTGGCAACATGACAGGTATAAGGAAAGGTATACTCAAGATTGTATTTCTGGTGTCTTAAATGTCAAGAGTATGAAAAGTAACCAAGATTACTTGGTGTTTTGTGGGTATAACACTGTGAGGTTTCTTATTTCTGGATACAATTTTTCCAGATTAGAAGCTGAGATTTCAGTTTTTAAACGTGGAATTTGGGAGACAGGGATTGTAAATATGATTTACAATGCTTTTAGCATTGTAAATATTATCGAGTACCCTTTCCAAACTAGATGAGGCACAGTGACTTATTTTTCCTTCCATTTTTTACATGGCACTTTTATTTCTTTCACATTCATGTGTTGACATGGTTGCATTGCATTCTAAATTCCATCCAAGTTTTTGTAACCTTAGCTGTGCCTATAACAGGTAGAGCATCAGTCAAACTAAAATAGACAGGGAAGAAAATGTTTTATTGGAGAAACACTCTAGAATCTTCTGATTAAGTAGTTTGCAAAAGATTGATAGCCACAAGACTTCCTCTTACTGGAAATACCATTCCAGTTTATTGGTCTTTGAGGGAAGAATGAGTCATTTGGGGGCGGGGGGAAGCAGAACCATCCAATTTTCTCAGTCTTAAATTTTAAGAGACCTTTTTCTACACAAAACATAATTTTCCAGAAGTCACGAGGAGGATAATCAAGCTATAAAAATGCCAGCCCATCAAAGACTAGTCTATTGTGTCATTACAGGAGGGCATTTAGGAAATGTCTTCCCTTAATTTTCCTAGGAGACCAAGGAAACTTTCTAAATCTCTGGTTAAAATTCACCCATGAGTGACTCTTGGGTGCTAATGGCTCATAATGATTACAGTAATTTATGTTAATTACCACCTCTTCTATCAACCTCCAACAAGAGTAGGAATATCCCTAGGTATCTTGAATGTTGCTAAGTATTAGAAATATTAATGTAGTTTGATGAATAATAAGAAACTCAACTTCCTATAGAAAAATTATCAAAATGGATTAGGAACAAAGTAAATTCTGACCCTGATATGGACCCTGAAAAGACCGACTAATTTGTGCTTTTGTTATTTGCATCAATTCTGTAGTTGATGTTATGTCTTAATTATAAAAAACTAAGTGATTTACTGGCAAAGGATAAGTTAAGAGTTTGACTTTGGTACCACAGATTTGACTAAAATCTGGTACTAACCTTCTGGTCTTGATAGCTGGAATGAGGTTTGAAAGGAGTGCTACCTGGGGAGGGCTTCCTGGTCTAACAATTTTGCATAATAATTTGGCATCTGATCAGAGAACATGATTCTGATGGATTTTGTTTTTTGGCCCACAGATAGATGATGCTGTAATTGGACGCATCATTTATGTAATCATATTTGGCATGATACAATGTGATTCCATTCTCTCTTCAGGAGCACAGACCCTTTCTATTACTGGACTAGTCTACCATTTTCCAACATGACAGTAGCTTTAGATAAAGCATCTTGTGCTTATAGAACCTTATGTTTGAATAAGAAACTTTGAAAGAAAGTGAATGAATTAAATCTTTCCTCAGGCCATGCTTAATTGGAAGCATGGGATTTAAATTGAGAAAATTCTATATTGGTAAATTCTGTTTTTCTTATAATTATTTTTCAAGTAATAGAAGATGTGTTGAGTAATGGTTGTAAGAGGTCAGGGTAGATGAAAACTAGAATTTATAGAACTATAGAGTTGCAAAGGACCTCCAGAAGGATTTATTTAATGAATGAAATGGAAGTCCTTAATGATAAATATTTCCCCTAAACTCTTTTCTATTGAAAGTTTAAACTGTATTGAAATCTGATGATTGTTAGTGCCTAACATAAGTCAACATTATTCTGATGTTCTCTTTTTTAGTATTTAGCCAAATACTAACATTTTGAACACGCATAATTAAGCTATTTTAATATGTCAGCCTTTCATTTTGACAGGGTGTAACCTTACACTGTCTCCATATTTTCCCCCCTGCCCCCATACCTACTTTTCTTCATTCACTTGTGGACAAGCAATATTTTTATTCTACTTCTTAAGGAAAGTAAAAATTTCCTTGTTCATATTTCAAAAATATTTTTCAATTACGTTATATATAGTAAGATATCTATTAAGAAGTAAGAATCTCAGCATGTATAGGATATCAGATCCTAGCCAGAAGTGGTCCCTGGAAAGCTCTTTAGTATCTTTTACTTACACAGATTATGAATAAGTGACCTCTGTGGAAGGTACACATAAAAAACCTGGCACTTTTATGATTATGTTTCCCCTTACTTTAGTATCTGGACCATGAGAAGTTTGGCTTATAGCTTCAAAACAGTGAAGGAAAATTGATCTTGGTTCTCTCTGCTTCTGTCTTACAGTTGAATCTGGAGTTCTTAGATTAGGGAAAGGAGGAGCAGATCAGATTATACTGAAAATTGCTTCTTTCTTTGAAGATTGAAGATTGACCTACTTAAAGTCACTTCCCTTTGGACTGTTGTTGGCCTTAGAGAGAACAATTCTTTAATATCTTTGTTTCCCTTGAACCTAGTATTATAAAATCCTAGTTCCACTGTTAGGAAAAGTCATTGATTTCTGATGTCGTGGTCTTTTATTTGCCATTCTTCAAAAACCATAAGTTGCATCTTCAACTAGGGTCTCAGTTATGCAGCCAGTGTTGTACAGGGAAATGTGACAAACTTCCTATGAAGTGAGGAAGAAATATTAGTAACCCACACACTTAAAGTCCATCTTACATCTTGCCTTCTAGAAATTCTAGAGAAAGAATGAATGAAATTAGCTTGCTTTTTCAGATATTAACATCCTGTGAAATGCAAGCACATAGAGTATTTTCTCTCATTTCTTTTAGAGTTCAGAGAGCTTTTCTTCTCCCTTTGGTAGCACTAATTTTATATAAACATTTATACAGTAGAAAGAACAGCTAGGAATATAGAGTTCATATAAGGCAGCCCTATTTAAAAACCACGACTAACAAAAACCAGAAGGAATGAGTCACTAGGACAATACATTGGAGATACTAGTAGTTACATAGAGATACATTGTAGTTACTAGTTTCTGAGTTAATTCATTTTGGAATATGGATGTAAGTCATACTCTCATCAGCCATTTGCAGCAACAACTGTGTTAAAACGTTATGTCTTAGAAGATAAACATGTCACTCTTAAGTAGTCTTAGTGTTGACAGAAGGTAAGTCCTCAACTTCTTTATATGTAATCACATAAGCCTGGATGGATTTCCCAAATGAAAAAAATTAACGTTGTAATTTGCTTCCAACAAAAAATGGGAAGTGGAAGGGAAAGACAAAGCTATACAGCTAACAATACTAATTTTACATCAGATTTCAAATAATAATTAAACTGATAAAGTGATTTAATAATTCTTGTTTTACTTTCCCTTTTTGTGTTTAAAGTCAAGTTTCAGAAAGAAAAATTTCTATCATACTGCTTTCCTCTTGTTAAAGCATAAAATAGGAAGGATAAAATAGGAAGTCCAGCAACATCGGAAAATGTTTAGTCTAAAGTAATATTAAGAGTAGGGGTGTTAGGTCCATGAGCCAAATAAGCTTCATTGTTCCATTAGGAACTCTTAATTGTCAAGAAAATGCTTGTAATGTGCTTTTAGCGTATAACATGAGTATGCAGTGCTTTTGCAGTTATCAAAATCATTGGTCTCAAGCATTCAATCTCCCTCTCCATCTGTAAACTTGAGAGGTATGTGTATATACAAGTATGTTTTATAAATCTTGAATTTCTATCTGTTTCAGTGAAGAATTTCGATCTGTTTCAGTTTGATAATAAAAGCA